GGGCCATGGCGGGGCAGGAGCGTGCGGCAGAGGCATCCGCAGGGCCCCGTGCTGGGAGCTGGGCGTGCAGCTGCAGGGCTGCCGCGCTGGGGGGATTCGGGGGGACCCACACCCCGGTTCGGAGCGTTGCTGGTGCCGCTGGCTGAAAAATTTCCCTCCACTCCCCACTGCAGGTTGCCAGGTAACACAACCTGCCAGCAAAACGCTGTGGGACTTGTAAAGCTGCCACTGCTCGGGATCTCGTGGTTGCAAGCAGAGGTGGTTGAGTGCGAAGGCGGTCGGCCCCCAGTTCCTGCCCCAGTTCCCGGTGCCAGCAGGAGGGCAGCGATGCTGGGGCTTGAAGGCTGGGAAACAGCCGGATGCAGCTCCCGGGCAGCGTTGCAGGATTTTGGTGTGTTAAAGCCCAGAGGGGATTTATGTGGCTGCGGGAACCGAAGCATCGGCTGTGCACAGCTCTACTCCCCAAACCCTTCACACTCAGACGGGTCCCTCAGTCGTTGCAGCCCATCTGTGTGTCCCGTCAGCCACGTTTTGAGCTGGGGACATCAGCATGGTGGGGAGCAGCAGCGTGCAGGACAGGAGGGCGCAGAGCTGGGGAGCTGAAGGTGCTGCCATAGCTGGGACAGTTGTGGGGACATGGTCCCTGCTCACCCTGTGGATCCCAAACCACTCAACCTTGGCCTCCGGTCAGCAGCAATCCCTCCTGTCACTTCTGCACTTGCAGGGTGCTGAGGGACCAGGTCGAGCCCAGGTCCTGGGTGTCCACGTGAGGGTGTCAGCAATGGGCATCTCCCACTTCCATCTGCCACTGTCCTGCTGCTGCTGGTGCTCCTCATGGCCCCGAGCCAGGGCTCTGTGTCTGCAAACACAGGGCAAACTCCTGGACCCTGTGCTTGCCCAAAGCTCCCCTTATTGCCTTTAACACCTTCTTTTAATGCACTCCGAGGGGCTGAGCCCGGGGCTGCCTCGTTACGGAGATCCCTGCAGGGTGGCTTCCCAGTCAGCCCAGCACCGTTTGCATCTCCAGCCTTGCTCCGTGGGCCGGGGAAGAAACCCAGAGCATCCACCCCGGGGCTGGCAGGGCATTCGCGGCCCCCCAGCCCCCGCCCAGCCCGCCCCCCCGCCGCCCCGGCAAATGGTTGCAGGAGCGTGAATGAAATGAAGGGTGCTTGAAGGAAGGTGTCACTCCAGATAGATGTGCACAGGAGGGGACAGGGCCTGGGAAATCTTTGCAGATGCAGCAATTTTCCCCTTGTTTCTGGGGAAAGTAGTCTTTGTCTCTCCGAATCTGCAGCTTTCTGGCAGCCCTGCAATTCCTTGTGACAGCCGTGGCTGGGGTCAGGGGAAAATCACAGCCTCTGTCCTGCAGGTGTAATGAGAAGGGGAGGCAGTGGGGGGGGGCAGGGGGTTGATGTGGCCGGGTGGCAGCTCGCTCCCTCCGCGCTGACGGCGTTGGCACCTCACGCTTTGCAGGGAGAAAAGGCTCTTGGTGCACATGGAGCAGCTCCCGCAGGCTGAGCCAATGGGTCCCTGCAGCAGTGGAGCTGCTGGATGCGCTCGGGGGGGGGGGGGGGAAAAAAAATTCCCGCGGTGACTCACAATCGCCGGGAGGCTCCGGGCCAGGTCGGAGGGCTTTGGGAGCAACTCTGCTCCCCTCTGGCAGGCAGCGAGGGCACAAGGGGGACAGGGATGTGTAGCCACCCCCCCAGCTGGGAGACATCCTCTGCGAAGTGGTCCCCACGGTGCTCAGGGCAGTGTGGTCCCAACATCGATCCCCAGCCACCCCTGGATCCTCAGCCCCTGCCTTCCCTCGCCTCCTCGCTTTCCCTGCGGTGCCGAGGACACCGGGGATGTTTCTCCCTTTTTCTCCCCATATTTGTGCCCAGGGGCAGCAGGGAGCCCCGCACGCACCTCCCGGGGAGCCGGGGCTGCTCCAGCTGAGTATCACC